GAGATTGCTTCAAACCGTATAGCGATTTCTTTAACCTGCAAACCAACTTATCTTTCCCTGCAGCTCGGAATCCCAATGGCTGAGTCATATATATTTCTTCATCAAGATCACCATGAAGAAATACCGTCTTTACATCCAACTGATCTAACTCTAATCCATACTGTGCCACCAAAGCTAGCAGAATCCGAATCGAAGAGTGCTTCACCACCGGAGAGAAAACCTCATTATAATCTATTCCTTCCTCCTGTGCATAGCCCTTCGCAACCAACCTAGCCTTGAATCTCACTGGAGTGCCCTCAATGCCCTCCTTCTTCGTGTACACCCACTTGCACCCAATCGCCTTCCGCCCCTTTGGAAGCTCAACAAGCTCCCATGTATCGTTCTTATGAAGGGACTCCATCTCCTCCTGCATAGCCACCTGCCACGAATCAGCCTCCGAACTCTGCTCGGCCTCTCTGAATGTAGTAGGCACCATCTCATCGATACTCTTCATCGGAAGTGCATATGCAACTGTGTCGGCATACCGTGCTGGCACCCGTATGTCTCTCCTCTATCTCCGAACCGCAATAGAATCCTGAACCTGAGCCATCGGTCCCTGATCCTGCTCATGAGTACCCGTATCCTCCGCATCACCGTCGTGCTCGCCTGGCGTCACCTCAGTCGGTACTCTAATGGATACTGCACCATCAGGACTCTGTGGAGTTGCATCAATCTCCACCACCTGCGATATCTCTTCTGTCGGGTCGCTCTCCACCTGATGAGAACTGGGAAGCTTCAAGATAGAAGCCTCATCGAATGTGACGTCCCTACTCAGCACAATCTTCTTATCAACTGGATCCCAAAGCTTGTATCCCTTGACACCACGCTTGAATTCTACAAATATGGCATTCCTAGCTCGAGGTTCCAACTTATCAGTTTTAACATGATAATATGCAGGGCAACCAAATACCTTAAGCTGGTCATAGTCATGTACTGTCTCTCCCGACCACATCTCCATAGGGGTCTTCCTCTCAATCGCAGATGAAGGCAGCCTATTAATGAGGTGGCTCGCATAAGAAAGTGGCTCAGCCCAAAAGATCTTCTCCAAACCACTATGCGCCAATAAACATCGAATCTTCTCCAGCAAAGATCGATTTAACCTCTCCGCCACCCCATTCTGCTGCGGTGTATGACTAACTGTGAAGTGCCTCTCTATGCCCTCGTCTCGACATAGCTGCTGAAAGGGGTCTGAAGTATACTCGCCACCGTTGTCGGATCGCAACGTCTTGATCTTTCTCCCAGTCTGCAGTTCTAATCTCTTCTTCCACTCCACAAATAAATCTAGGACCTCACTCTTATGCTTCATGGTGTACACCCAACATCGCCTAGAATAGTCATCAACGAACGTGACAAATCAATGTCAACCACCAAGTGGTGCCGTCTTGGTGGGACCCCAAATATCTGTATGCACGTAGTCCAAGATGCCCCTCGTCCTATGAATGGCCGTCCTAAACTTCACCTTTGTCTTCTTGCCAAGTACACAGTGCTCACAAAATTCCACTTTACCACTCTTGGCTCCCTTCAATAGCCCCTGCTTGCACAATGCCTGCAGTGACTTTTCACCTGTGTGTCCTAGCCTGTAATGCCAAAGTCTGCTTATGTCCGCCTCTGAAATAGCCGAAGCAACCTGGCCAATCTCGGTGCTCCCCTTCAGATAGTATAAATTACGACTGCGGATTCCCTTCATCACCACCAAAGATCCCTTAGTAACCTTCGCTACAGCATCCTCAAAGGTCACCCTGAATCCCTTCGCCTCCAAAGCTCCAACTGAGATAAGATTCTTCTTCAATTGAGGAACGGATCTCACCTCCTTCAACTCACGGACTACTCTATCGTGCATCCGAATCCTCATAATACCTATCCCACAAATGCCACAGGATTGATCATTTCCCATGACAACAACACCCTCGTCGAGTCTCTCAAATGATGAAAACCAATCTCGCCTAGGAGTCACATGATAAGTAGCGCCAGAATCAATCATCCACTCCGATGCATCCAAATGGTTCACCTCCGGAGTAATCAAAAGAGAAAAGCTCGAATCATCGGAATCATCGCCTTTCGCAACATTCACCTCATTGGCCTTCGGGCCCTTATTCTTGCTATTCTCCTTTTCTTTGACTTTCGGACAGTCTCTCTTCCAATGTCCATGTTCCTTGCAGAATGCACATTGGTTCTTTGCTAATTGGTGGCGGCTTCTTGACTTTGACCTTCCTCTATTACCACATTTTGGATATGGGCTTCTACCTCTCGTCGACAAGGCCTCTCCTGAAGTACTAGCGCGGGAAGTCTTCTTATCCTTCCTCCTCATACTAGCGCGGGAAGTCTCCTTATCCTTCCTCCTCAAATCATAGTTCGTCAATGCGTTAGTCACTTCACTATAAGTGATAGAAGATCTCCCGTTCAGCAACGTAAGCACGAAGGTATCATACTCCTCATCCGGTAAGGAGCCCAAAAGAATAATAGCCTTGTACTCATCCATGATCTTCTCATCCACGTTCGCCAAGTCCGACAACAACTTAGTGTAGTTGTTCACATGAGCCGCAAGCGATGTACCTCAGGACATCTGGAATCTGAATAACCTACGTAGCAAATGCAACCTATTCTCAACACTTTTCGTAAGATACTTATTGTTGAGAATTTCCCACATCTTCATCGCAGACGTTACCCCAATCACATCATATTTCAGCTCCTGTTCCAAACATGACCTGATCACCCCACAAGCGTTCCTATTCATCTTTTCCCATACTGACTCTTCATATTTAGGTGGCCTCACATCGACCATGATGGTCTCCTCCAAATTTTGAGCATTGAGCGCATACTGTACGTCGCTCATCCACAAACCAAAATTGATTTTGCCGTCATATTTCACTACACTAATCTTAGTGTTCTGAAAACCCACTTGAACTGTGCCGATCATCTTGCTGCTTTCACTAACTTCTTCACCCATAATCACAAATTCCAAATTGCAAGAAAAGATTCAAACTTTGAAAAGAATAAGAAATTACCCAACTGAACCCTAGATTGGATTCCAAATAGAACTCCTAACCACATGAGGAAAGCGAGATCTTCAACGGTAACTTCAAACCCTAACTCCACCAAAGCCTAGAACTTCAAGAACCAAGTTTCCAACTGAATCTTCCTCCACCTAATCCAAAACCCTAGATGTGAAATCTGAGCTCTGATACCACTTGTCGCGCGCCTATGCGGAAGCGTTGCACGCACACACAACGAACTTGAGATCACGGAAGAAGAAAGCCACAAGCCAAACACAGAGATATACGTGGTTCGATAATTGTCTACGTCCACGGGGAGAGGATGGGGAGATTTCACTATATGGAGGAGAAATACAACGGGTTACAACTCACAAAATCACTCAAATATAACCCTAACCAAAGCTCTCAACTCCCTCACAATATCTCCCTCTCAAAGTGCTCAAAACAATGTTAATTCTCTCCTTTTCTCTCCTTTAGAAACCCTAAAAAACTTGGTCCTATTTATAATAAAACACAATCCCAAACAAAGGAGGATTCCCAAACAAATGAGGATTCTAAAAACGAGTCTGCCACACCCTGCACCATGGGTGTGGCAGAGGGTGTGGTGCAGGACAGATTCTGCCACACTCTGCACCGTGGGTGTGGCAGAGGGTGTGGTACAGGACAGATTCTACCACACCCATGGCAGATACCACACCAGGGTGTGGTGGACCACACCAGGGTGTGGTGGAGTCTGTTTTGGGTTATTCTTCAAGTTTTCACAATTCTTTCGCCGTTTTCACAAGATATTCTTTCATCTAGATTCTACTCACGAGTACCAAGAGAACCTGGGGTTTTACTCCTTGTTCACGAGAATAATTTTCACTTAAAAAGGTTGGCCTACCAACAGTTCGAACCCATCCATTAATTAGTCCTCGAGGCTGCACGGCATTGGTCATCGTTGAATCCGCTAGGAATTCGAAACTGATTCATCTCACCATTGGAAAATGGGTTCGATGCATGGGATGCTATACAAACTGATTCGAAACTGTTTCAACGAAAAGCCAATTTTAAATGGATTCAAAAGAGGTGTTTCTAAATCAAAAGTTCAGGGACCTAGTGAGGGTAATGTGGCTATATATAAACAAAAAATCAACACTAAATTTCTAACGGGAGTTAAAAAAGACTTAGTTTATAAACTAAGTATGGTACAGAGACTACATTGAGAACCAAGAAACCATTCAACCTAAACCTTACATCATCTGATATTAATCTATCAAATCACTGAAATTACTATTAGGTCCTTAAAATCAGAGCAGTTTTTTACAATTTAGTTCTTACAGTTAGCTCATATCAGATGTTAGAGGAAAATTCCCTATTATCTGATTCCTACATGGGGGGTTCGAATGATACCACTATGATTATAGGAAAATTCCCTATAATCTGATCGTCAATCGTCTATTTCGGTGGAAGGCAATGGTATCGTAGCGGGAAAAACAAGATGAATGTAAAATCTGACAATGGTGAGTGTCAGCGTCTCTGAATTTATTCCGAAGTACCAGTTTCTTTAATAGGCATGAGTCCAAAACCCATAAACCCGAACACGCTTCCCCTCATATTTCATCCTCCAAGTGGAGAGATGTTTGAGATTTTCAGGAAAAACTGAGATTATTCTAGCCATTTATCATATTGCATTATGAACTAAACCAATGATAAGTGGGATTATTTTACTTTGTCCCCCTCTTTCCTTTAAAAAAAACATTACACTAACAGTAAGTAGAAAATGAATAATTATAGTTAAATCCAGTCGGGGTGTTTTCGACAACTTATGTAATATATTTGAGGTCTAATTAAGTAATAGGAAGATCAAGGGTCCAATATACAACTGGAGAAGATTTGGAGGTCTAATATGACAAAAGCCCATTTGTATTACAATGTTTGTCTTTGTGCGTCGTGTATTTAGAAATCAAGAAAAGCAGGGCGACGCCTGAAGGCTATTATTGCCTCACCACCGCTATACCGGACGGAGGTCGGAGGAGATGGATGGCGCCGGAAGCTGGGACGCCCTCGAGTGGACCAAAATCGAGGTCTCCCCAAATTCTCATCCATTCAATCTCCAAACCCTAACCCTAACTCTTTCTTCCTTTATTATCCAATTTAATTAATTTCCTTTCCCCCCTCCTCTTGCTGCTAATTTGTGTGGTCTATTTGCGCAGCGCGTTTCTAGGTCAGCCTCTCATGGCATGGCTGAGTTCCTGTTGGAGGCCGAGCAAGTTATAGCCCAAGTAATTGCATTTCAACTCAAACTCTTTCCCCCCTTTTCTTACTCGAGATTTTAGTTTTTACAGTTCCAGTTCTTGCCTTGAGATTACAATGATTACTCGGTCCTTTAAGCATATCAAGAATGTGCAAGAATTAAAAAAAAAAAATCCAGAAGAGGTCAAAGGCCTCTCAACCTGCTTCATTCAATTAGGATATGGAAAAAAGCCAAGAAATTGTGAACGGTTACTTAATTCACAGCCAAAAGTCATCATTCTTGCGCTGAAAAAAATTTCTACCCAAAATTAGAACTCCACATTTTCCTGAAAATTCTGGTATTTTGCTCTCTCCGAATAGATCAAGAAATGGCAGCAGCCAAAACTTACCAATTTCTTCACCGCTTCTTAATTCTAGTCTTCTTCAAGCCGTAACATGCATGCTCTTCAAAATTGCTTTCCAAACCTGTTTAACTGGAGAACATTTTAAGGTTATGGTCAACTGATTCAGAATGAGATATTACTAGCAGTCTAGCAAGATCGAGTTGCTTTGTCATAATCAAGATGAACGTACACTTTAAAACTTTGTTACTTTTAGATCCGTGATAACCCTGAAGGCTAAATCATTCATAAGTAGACCAATCTCTGTATCTCTTATGCACACAAATATAAATCTTTTCCCCCACAATACGAGTGTATCTACATTGATATAGATGACATTCATGTTTTTATGCTTGTCGACTTCCTGGGTAATGTGCCAATATGCTTAGAGAAGAGGAGGAAGGCATCTGGAGAATATAAAAATGAACGTCATGTTAGCTTTCAGATGGATGAAGGAGGAAATTAGAATCGATCAATTAGTATTTTACCCTAGTTTCGAGATAGGTATCAGTGTGTCACTTAATAATCATTAAAATCCTGTTTTATATTTTAAATTACAGAAAACTTAATTATTTGAGAACTTCTTTGTTGAAAGAAACAATATTCAAGCGCATATACGCATACAATGTAAATATTCCCCCTCCTTACTTTGTTGAAATGTTATGTGAATTTTCTTCGGTGAAGTGAAATGAATTGATGATTCTAGCTTGACTGACTCCTTTCCCTTGCGAAAAAAAGATAAATTGAAAAATCGCTTTAAGGTTGCAGCCATGAAATTTTTTATGATAAATTCACTTATCCATTAGAGAGCTCAGATTAGTTTAGCAAATGAACAAACCTGTTCTCATTCTATTTGAACCATCATTAATTGATTCGAACTTCAATCCATGCTTGTGCTAGAAAATTCTTGTGCACTCTAGATTATACCTCGAATGATTACTATGGTTTGAGCTAGAGACATATAGTTGTTAGCCGGCGTTTAATGCACGCCATTATATTCAACCAAACTGAATTTAGTTGTTCATCTTATTTTTTGATGGGACTTGTGCTCTCTGTTACATATGAACAAACTGCGAATAGTGATTGAATTGCGAGTTGTAGTACGAGTAGCTTCGTCTTAATAAATACATACCTTGTTCTGATTTTTATATCAAGAGTCAGAATGAGAAGAAAGTGGGAATTAGGCGTTAAGGCATGGTAATGAAGGAGGGAGTTGAATTTGTAAGAGGTCCCTTACTGGTGTTGAGATTTCAGAGGACATACAAGTTGCTAGCATAGACCCTTTAGAAAGAAAAAGAAAAGACTCTTAGAAAAGCATCTATACAAACAACAATTGTGAGCTGCTCCATGCATTACGTTGCTATTCTTTTTCTTGTTGAAATTTTGTGATGAGCTTGCTTACCATGGTGACAGTTATATCCTGGGTATTGGAAACCCATTGGATTCTTTAATATCAATGTACAAAAAATACAAATTGTCAACTTAACTGACTAACAATAACAACAAGCAGTGGAATCAATAGCAGAAAAAGTGGAAACTGAAGTGACATGTCATTAATCACAAATACAGTCAGATTCATCCCAAATACAGTCAGATAAAATCATGCTTGTGATATAGGATTTGTTAAAGATAATAAAAAAAAAGTTATGGAACTGTGTTTCTTGGTGGAGTTTTGTAAACAAATGATCTGCATTTTGAACATGTAATATAGATTTCGAGGAATTATGCCCTTCATTAAGGGAGATGATCCATAGCTCAACAGAAGATTAGTGGAAATTTCACAAATAAGAATGTCTTCACAAATCCCTTTTGTTCGTGGTTGAGTATGGATGTATAGGGTATACTATGGAATTTGTATGTGAGTGCAAAGGGAGGAGGCTTAATCAGATTGCCTGGCAACATGTTCCACTTGAAAGAACTTATTATTGCCATTTTGATAACTATACATGCATAGTTTGTGTGCAACTTGCATATGATTTTGTTAATAATAAAATTTAAACTCTAAACAATAAATCCATAGTGTAAGTACTGGAAATCTAATTTAAGGGTAAATTTCATAAAGCTCAGCTGAGCTATGGCTTTATTTGCATAATACCCCTTAAATCTTAAAAGTCAGGGAAAAAATCATAAATTTTAGGGAGTGTCGCAAAATATCTCTGAAATTTTGAAAAGTTCCATCTGAACTTTGGTGCAATTTTCGGTGCAGGATTTGTTGGGAAAGAGAGGATAGAGGGAAACAGGAAAAAAGAATGAGGGAAGTTTGCTTTTTAACAGTTTGACTAAGAGTGAGTGGTTATTTTCTAAAAACGTAGTTCAGTTCATGAAACGTTTTGGAAGTTCTGGGGGTTTTGTGAAACTCCCTAAACTTTTTTCTCTAATTTTTAAAGTTGTAGGGGGTGTTGTGCAATTCAACCCAACGTTTTTTTTGTTTGGGTTTCAAATCTCAATGCCTGTCTCGGTTTCATATTTCTTTATTGATAGATTTTGGAATTTTCAATTTGGGTATTATCAAATCAGAATTCTTGGTATATGGAAAAAGTACAGATTTTAAACACAATTTTTATTTATTGATTATGGTTTAACTTTTACAATATAACACCATCAAATTAGCTTTTAATACTCTAGAAGTACAGATTTTAAACACATTATTTATTTATTGATTATGGTTTAACTTTTACAATATAACACCATCAAATTAGCTTTTAATACTCTAGACTTTCATCACTATTTTAAAAACGGGTCTGGATGCCCACATAGGCGACCAACTAGGTGGAGGCTGTGCATAGAGCATTCCCTTTTGGCTTTAGTTATCTTGATTTAAGCGACATGCAGACCTACACGAGCTATGCTACTTAACTAGGCAAGACTAAGTTAAAAATGGGTAGGCATTCCATCCACCTCAGATATTCTCTAGTGTGAGTTCTTTCTTCCTCTTATCTATTCTTCTTTTCATTTGTTGTCCCTACGACTGAATCAACCAATCATTATTAGCAACATCAGCTTGTATGTGTCATTATTAGCCAAACGACATTGATCGTTTACAATGAGTTCAAATTGGCATCGCCTAAAATCTGATACAATTGAGATGTTAAATATCGGTAATAGCCAATACATCAAAACTTGACTAAGAAAAAGCTAAACACTAGTTTTGATTATATCAAACAACTCATTGTATAAGTTAGTCATTAGTTATTTTATTAATTTCTTAAATCGCCATTTTCAAGGAGCTGAACATGCCAAAATTAATGATCATGCCAAATCCTTTGGAAAAGTAATAGTTATTATCTTTCATGTTTAACAACAAGTGGCGACAATGCGTATGCATTATGTTAAGTATTCGGGATATGACCTGATATATCGCTTGATATATCTTTTTACAGTGCTTGCCGCAACCGATATGGCCTCGAAATATCATTTGCCATTTTTGGCAAATTTTGGGCGATACATCCTGATCTATTAGCTAATATGTTGGCCGATGTATCCTTTTATATGGCTTGTCGCAGAACAATGTACACCGCTTGCCAATTTTTGGGTAAGATATCATGATTTTCATTTATATTAAATGACATTTTAGCCTAAAAAACCAGGCAAAGTGTCGCAACGTCGTTTTGTACTTTTGTTTGTTTTGCAAGGTTGACTAGTGATCCTAAACATATATTATGTACATTTTGTATGCTTAGATTTTATTACATATGCTGATATTACATTTTAGTGCATTATACTATATAGCAAACATCAATTATGGCATTCCAATATTTTCCACATATCTCTGATATTTCTCCGATATCCGCAATCCGATATGAATTTTGGCATCAGATATTTCCCCAATATCTGATATTTAAAACCTTGGCCTATAGCTCAAAACAAAGTTGGGACCATTGAAATTGACTACGACAATCCTTAATTTCCATCATTCTGCATTGTTTTATCGGTAGTTTTGAACCCCCTTTTTCTGTTGAATATCCTTATTAAGTGCATAATATTGATGCCAAAATTTACGAGTAACGTATTTCTCCGCTGTGCAATCTTTTCTTTCCCTCTTTCTTTCTTTCTTTCTTTTTTTTGTTATTTTACTAATTCTCATGAGTGGTAAACCGTATATTTTCACCATCTTTGATTAAATTAATGGATCTTTTGGTAAATATTGCTAGGGCCATGGTGTTGTTCTAGTAAATACGGATGAAGCGGGTACATTATCAGTAACAAACTTTCGCCTTCTTTTTGTGGTAAGGAATGCCAGTTTCTCTAACTTTCTCATTCTACTATGAGCAATACTTTGTTGCATAGAGCAAGTTATTAACAACTACCTTTCACATCTCCTACATAAATAATTGCTGGATGATTTTTAGATTTGAAGTAAATGCTGTTACTCATGGACTGTGCTAATTACTAGTTCTTGTGGTCATTGAAAGTTGTAGCACATAAATTATACTTTAACTATGCACATTGTTACTTGATGTGTGTTTTAAGAATTCACTTCAACTCCTTCCCTACAGTTTTTAAGGCTTATCTGCCACAATCAGATTTGTCTATGGACTTTTTTTCTGTTCTCTTTTTTTGACAAAAGGAAATGTATGTGAAGTCCTCTGATTAACTATATTTGTCATTTGTTATGCATTTCTTTTGAACTTTGTAATTTGGAGTTACTTGTGCGTGTGCAAGCCAAATTTGTTTCTTGTTGTCAGATTCAGGATATGACTTTTGTCAATGAATCTGCTATTGTTGTCAGAAAATCACTCAGTTATATGATTGCTCATTTTGCTTGAACGCTTTGCTTCTAATTTTTTCACAACTTTAAGGAAAAGGTAACTTATAAATGGTAAGCTTTGTTGATTATTGAAAAAAACCCATTACATAACTCGTTATATTGCGTTATGCAACCTAACTGGCCTTCAATGTTACATTAACCTTGTGAAATAACTCAGACATATTATAACTCTACGTTATTATCGTTATTTCAGTATAATTTACATTATTTCAATGTAACCTATGCTATTTCAATATAAGTTCTGGAGACTTAAGAGTATGTCCTTTCTTAAAGCTTGAAGTAGTTAGGTATTTACCTTTGAACTACTTGTTATGCTTTCATGTCTTGTGTTGGTGATGTTATTATGTGATTGTGAAATTATGAATATGACTATTAAAACGAATGTAATTATGAATGGCCTAAAATTTATAATCATATATTTGAGTATTTGAGTGTGATACTTCCTAATAAATCTATATAGGTTGTATTAAACTAAATAATTTTTATTAAAATATCTCTGTAAATTATGTGCTAAATAATAAACAAAATAACCTATATTATGCATTATGTTTTTTTGCGTTTTTTTTCCTTTACAGTAAGTAGAGTGTTATGTTATGCGTTATCATTATTTTCAAACATTGTTGGTGTCTATACTTAATCATTTATGACGTCTAACTTGGTGTTCTCGTTTATAAATGGTAAGCTGTATGGTCCCTTTCTGGAGAACTCCTTCCTTGACATGGCACATCTGTCTAATCAAATATCCTTGCAGTAGTTATGAATTCCTTTTTATCTTTACTTTTATCTCTTTCTCCAACATTTCTGTATGTAATTCCATTTCTCTCCCATTTTCAGATCCTTCTCGTTTTATTCCTTTGAAGTTTTTGCCTTTATCTAATTTTAGATCTCTAACTGTCAAAAATCAGTTTTTCTACTTCTTATTTCTAAAAGAAATTTTAAGGGCTTCAAATTGCACCCAATTTCTAACCCCCAGTGGCCAATCTCCTCCTTCTGTTGCTTGTAAGACATTTATAACTATGCTAATACATATCTATATAGATGCCTATTTCTTGTTCTGTTGTTAATATACCTACAAATTTCTTTTACAGAGCGAAGCATCTCGGGATATAATTGAACTTGGCACAATACCGTTGGCAACAATTGAGAAATTCACTAAACAGGTTAGTTAGTGTCCCTGAACAAATCATAGCACTTTCCAAGACTTGCTAAGATTTTTGAAACGGAAATTTATGTGTCACTCATCATTTTAATTCAAATAGATTAAGTTTGATAACTTTGCTTAAATTGCTGCCGAGCCAAAGCATATAACTTTTGGATTTGTCCAATATATACTCTTTCTTGGCTTTATCCAAATCACATGAAAGACTTTCCCGATAGTACTTGAAAGATCCTAAATCAGCTTGAAGACTAATAGATCAGTTGTGGAGAAGACCAAACACCCCCAACCAGTCCTTCGCATGTTAGAGTTCAATTTCTGTTAAGAAGTAAATTAAATTTATGCCCTTTCTTTATTGTAAGGTTTGTGCTAAAAACTTGCACTATGTTCTGTGTTAACTATTAAGTAAAATGTTGTCTTTGTTGTCTGATTATTTTACACAAACGATAAGTCATCTATTCCTCTATAATAATGGGAGGATCCAAGATTCAATATTCATGTTGTAGTAAATGCTATAGTAAATTACTATAGCATTATTAGTGTAGCAAAGATAGGAGGATCCAATGTTCGCTATTCATGCTACGATAAATTACTGTGGCATTGTAGCACAAGCGGGACCTGTAACGTTCAAAAACATTACTATAACATTATTACTATTGCTCAGGTGAGGTACTGTAGCATTTTAAAAAAGTTACTGTAGCACATAAAAAACTATATTTAGACCGAGTTACTCTAGCAGAAATAAAAAATGGAGGCCGTGCTTTGCATGGGGTGCACACTAGTGTAAAATGATAAGGAAATGCCTAATCTTTTTAGTGACAATTGGTGAATCCAAGTAGTTTGGTTAGCTCCATCCGCTGATCCACACATTACACTTTTTTCTCTCGAATAATCTTGTTTTCCAAATAGCCTATGAGAATTGATTACTTTACCATACACTATCTTATCATGTGTGAGGCATATGCAACATGTTTTTTTTCCTTGTGGGGTTTAAATGACTTTCATTTGCCATTGTCATTTCAGTAGTTTCTTGCTACCTTGGCGTGCATGGCATCAGTTTTTTTTCCTTCCTTTTTTTAAAAATCTTGATTTGTATCCTTGGTTTTTTTTCATATCAGTAAATCCCATTGAGACCAATTGGATTGTAGATATCCATTTTTCTCCTTGACATTTGACCATTAGTTGTTGTTGGAAAGCTAATAATGTGGGATTCACAAAGAAGACTCTGCTGAAACTTGCTCACATTTATGCAGGGAGAATAATAACAGGGAAAAAAAAGCGGGGTGACTTGTGTTGCTATGTTATGTTAAGTATATGATATTTAGTGTAATCATTCATAATATAAATACAGTTCGCTTTGTTGATTCCTCTCATATTCTACTGCTTGAAATTTAGGTGGTAAAGCTCTCTTCAGGTCAGCGCCAGTCAGAGAAGACACCATCAAGACGACTGCTTCAAGTTATTGGTATACCCTTAGGATATTTGTACAATGCCCTTTTGGCTCTGACTATTATTGTTATTAGATGACATTCTGATGCATATCTAGAGTCCTTCAGGATGCTTGCTACAAATGATATTTTTCTGATGGATTGAAGTTTCAATTAAGTATCTACATCTGTTTCTGCTGTTGGTTTCCTTTGTTCTGTAACTGGGTTTATATCTTTTTCTTTCTAATGGAGAAGACCTGGTTCTATATTTTACATACCAATGCAATTGATCTAAACACCATACTACTTTGTCCACACCACTTCATTAGCAGAAATTAAATGGTTGCAGAGAGGAATTTGTTTGTCATTCTAATATTCACGCCACTTTTAAGTAGCATCATTTTCCCTGCTATTTACAAAATGAAAAGTGGGACAAAGCAGCATTCTATAAGACCGTTGTTAGTAATCAGATGCTGCATTGCAGCGTAAAATCTTAACCTCATACAATCTTATAGATAAAACATCAGAAATATTCTGTTAGGAGTTTTGAATCTTGTAATTATCTTTTCTTGGTGGATGAATACCTGAAGGAAAATCATGCTTACTAGTTTGCTGCATTATAGTTTAGTTAGGTTGAGATCAAAGTTGTTTGCTGGAGGCAACTTGGTTTGAAGGCAAATTTGGCTCCTCTAGTGACTTTTTTATGTCAATTTTATGGAGATGATAGTTGTTAGATTATTTAATATAAGTGGGAGAGGCTTAGTGCAATTCTTTGATTTCTTCATTATGAACTGGAAAGTCAAATGCTCAACAAGTCATGACATTAGCACTGAGTTTGCGTCAAAGAAATAGCCTATCGGCAATGTGAGCGTAAGATTACATATGCATGATTGATGATCTTCACCAGGCCCCACAGTGGTGGGACTTCATGCGCTCGGCTGCCCTTTGTTGTCAGATTACATAATTAATGTTCTGAGGTGTAAACTAGAAGAAAATGCCAGCTGTAAATTTTATACATTTTATCTAAAATCACATGATATGTAGATGATTTCTATAAACAGTAGGGAGGATTCCTACGGGATCAACTGATTGCTGTGGATAAAAAAAAGGAACTTTGACCAGTATCTTTAACTTTATGATGCCAAGTTCTTTTTTATTTTTCTAGCCATAAGAAAGGAATCAGTTTCACCCTTTTATGTCCAGATATCAAGGTTTGCCACGAGACTTGCTGTAGTTATCAATATGATTTTGTTTTTTTCTTTTCTTTCCTTTTTCCCTTTGTTTTGTCTTTTTCTCAATGTTCTCTTTTTTGTCTATTTTACTTCAGTCTCTAATATGATGCGAGACAATATGCTAGTATGTAATTGCTTTATGTTATACCTAAGAATAAGGAGATTTGATATTTTGAGTGGTTTTATGATGCTCTGATCACTGAGCTTTGGGTGCATGTGACACATGGGAGTGGTCACTAGGAATCTAAAATTTTTATGCTGATTCCTGTGTTATGTCAAAACTTACTTCAAAATCCGGCGAAATATTGTATTCCCATTAACGTGACATTCCCTTGTTTTGTGGTGTTGTGATTCCCTCATGCTAGCGGTGCTATGTTCCCACCTGTCAGAAGTCCATAGAAAATCTTATCTTTCAGAATACTCCTTATCCTTTCTTCTTTTGCCCTTAAAACTCATTTCCATGTTGCCGTCCCCTTTGACTATCAATTTCTTCAGCTGCCATTATTATTGGTTATCGATTTTTTTTTTGTTGTTTCAGCAATCATCATCATCAACCACTATACCACCATGATCGCCACCATTGTCACTAGTACCCACATCGGCATCGTTCCCCAACAACATGCATTGTCACTAACACCAACCATGATGGCTGCAACCACCCTTGGTGCCACCACCACCGCTACCCTTGGACACCATTGGCTGTCATCATTATAATAATCATCACCTCCTATTCGTGCCACTGGTGTCAACATTGCCACAACCATATTGCTAACTACTACAACTGCAATTGCAATTACCAATATGCTAAACAAGTAAACATCACCATTGCGTGCCCCCATCATTACTAATGGCTGCAATGGTTGCTAGCAGCTTCTGAGGTGTAAACTAGAAGAAAATGCCAGCTGTAAATTTTATACATTTTATCTAAAATCACATGATATGTAGATGATTTCTATAAACAGTAGGGAGGATTCCTACGGGATCAACTGATTGCTGTGGATAAAAAAAAGGAACTTTGACCAGTATCTTTAACTTTATGATGCCAAGTTCTTTTTTATTTTTCTAGCCATAAGAAAGGAATCAGTTTCACCCTTTTATGTCCAGATATCAAGGTTTGCCACGAGACTTGCTGTAGTTATCAATATGATTTTGTTTTTTTCTTTTCTTTCCTTTTTCCCTTTGTTTTGTCTTTTTCTCAATGTTCTCTTTTTTGTCTATTTTACTTCAGTCTCTAATATGATGCGAGACAATATGCTAGTATGTAATTGCTTTATGTTATACCTAAGAATAAGGAGATTTGATATTTTGAGTGGTTTTATGATGCTCTGATCACTGAGCTTTGGGTGCATGTGACACATGGGAGTGGTCACTAGGAATCTAAAATTTTTATGCTGATTCCTGTGTTATGTCAAAACTTACTTCAAAATCCGGCGAAATATTGTATTCCCATTAACGTGACATTCCCTTGTTTTGTGGTGTTGTGATTCCCTCATGCTAGCGGTGCTATGTTCCCACCTGTCAGAAGTCCATAGAAAATCTTATCTTTCAGAATACTCCTTATCCTTTCTTCTTTTGCCCTTAAAACTCATTTCCATGTTGCCGTCCCCTTTGACTATCAATTTCTTCAGCTGCCATTATTATTGGTTATCGATTTTTTTTTTGTTGTTTCAGCAATCATCATCATCAACCACTATACCACCATGATCGCCACCATTGTCACTAGTACCCACATCGGCATCGTTCCCCAACAACATGCATTGTCACTAACACCAACCATGATGGCTGCAACCACCCTTGGTGCCCCACCACCGCTACCCTTGGACACCATTGGCTGTCATCATTATAATAATCATCACCTCCTATTCGTGCCACTGGTGTCAACATTGCCACAACCATATTGCTAACTACTACAACTGCAATTGCAATTACCAATATGCTAAACAAGTAAACATCACCATGCTGCCCCCATCATTACTAATGGCTGCAATGGTTGCTAGCAGCTTGCTGCTTCCACCACTGCATTGCTGCCACCAGCGATGCAGACCGTCTCCACCACGGCTACTCATATTCTGGTGCTAACTGGCTGTTTCCCCCACTGCTATGCACCATCACAACCTGTGCTGGCAACTTACTGGCAACATTGCACAATCATCATTGCTCAATAGAGGGTTAATTTGGAAAATATATTCTCAATAGTGCCACATTCCAGCAAATCCTTTTAATATACGTAACTCATGGAACATTCTTAGCATACACATGATGAGACATTATTCCCAGAAATTTAATGTGTAAGTATCAAGTTCCTAGGAGATACAAATATAACAAGTACAACCTTAGCAGTTTTTTGTCTTTGTGTGAATTTTCAATATTTAATGCATTAAGGATGAGCTACTCTTCCGTAATTAAGCAGAGATGAAAGTGACTCTTATTTATACAGAAGTAATTAGGTCAATCATGAATGAGGGAGCAGAAAAGTGTCACAACTAGGACCATTTATTTTAATTTGACTGTGCTGATCCTTTGTCAAGGGATGCTTCGTATATGAGCCGAGATAGCACTTCAAGATAATTCAAGTGGTGTATCCATTTAGTCCTGTCCTATTTTAGGTATATCCAAAATTGTCATGCAGGGACGTGTAAGGAGAATATGTAATGTTGCTTATATGGTGGTCTTCTGTTGTCTAATTCTAGATTCAGTGTTTCAACGTCATGTTGAAGTAATTAATACAGGTAGCCAATAGGACATGATCCTGCGAATGCAATATTGTCCCTGGACTGATGTGTTTCTCAAATTTTTGTATTTTCAAAAAGACCATGAAATACAGTTATGTTAGGAGGGCTCTCCCTTCTCAATTTTTGAGACAATAGATAGTCTATAAAACAGCATTTGCAGATTAAGCTTCTCATCTTCAAGGAAATAACCAATGCAAGTTTTTTCCTTGGAGCTCATTTCACATGATATGAACTGGTAAGATATTAAGAATAACTATCAATGCTTTTTTGTTTCTCTTACTACTTTTCAGTATCTCAGTTTGAGGCTTCTCTCTTCAGTTATCATAAGTTAGTGTGATTTCTTCCTTGTTGCCCGTATAATTTTAAAATAAAGAAGTTTTCAACTACAAACTTATAATTATTCTGGGGGCATTATCAATGTTGATATATTATTTGTAGAAAGCTTATCAGTCTTTTTTTCCCACAGGTAAAGACATGCGAATTATCATGTTTGGATTTCGACCTAGAACTAAGCAGGTTATTCTTGACAATCTTATTGTTGAAACTTGTTTTTCTTTTTCTTTTTATGCCTGTTATTTGTTAAAAAGATTCATAATACTTGTAATTCGCATGGTGTTCAAGTATGTAAGAAGATAAACCAGCTTTCGTGGTAGCAAGATTGAGGAGGAGGATGTTTATAGAAACTAATTGGAATGTGGTAAAGCAGAAAATGCAGAAGGATTATTACGTGCCTGTAGATTGCCTTGAAGTCGAAGGGTGACTAAACAACTAGAATATGTGATGATTAACAAACAATATGTCTAAAAGATGAGTAGCTGAAGTCAGGAAGTTTAAATGGATGTATCACAGTCAGATACAAAATGGGAAAACAAACGAATGCATTCACCGTAAAGTAGAGATGACCTCAGCATAGTAAAACTTGAGAATGGAGTTTAAGATGTTTTAATCATGTGATTTGTAGAAACAAAAACGTGTCATACTCCCACATAGATGTTGGTTGTTGAGTGTTTCGTCTTCTTGAAGAATCTAGTCACAATGTCACTATCCAATACACTTAAAATCATAAGGATTTTTTTTTCTTTTGAAAAAGATCTCATATAAGGGAGTTGGATTTGTAAATCAGGTAGCAGGACTTAGTCGAGGTACATTACCAGTCCTTTCAGATTGTTGCTAATAAAGCAAATTTTCACTGGAAAATCTGTCATGAGATCTGAATGGTAAGGTTGCAGTTAATGTCTAATGACTTGTTTAAGCTCATGCATTTATGGAGCAATCTTCAAGATGGGATGACATGCTTCGTGTAGGAACTGTAACCACATTTCAAATGCAAATACCTAACACATCATATATTCAAATGGGTCTTTTTAGCAGAACTGTTTCACAGCCAATGACCATGCTGCACAACTGTGATCCATTGTCCATTGACTCCATTTCTCCTTAGCAAATAAGAGAAAAGAGGAGAAGCTCTCCCTTAAGAAACTTATGCCCATCAATAAATTCCATGTAAAGAGACATTAGCATTTGCTTCTCTTAGTCTCTGGGTCAATAAAGTTGCTTTCTGTAGCATCTTTTACTGACAGCAAGGCTTCCAACATTTTGGAGATGAAATAGATATGAATATTGTTTGGCAATAATAAGCAAAGTTCTCTAATGACCAGTTCTTTGGTTACTTTCAAAGAGTAAGCTTGTTTTTGCTAGGCTCAGATACTTGTTCTTGTGTTATAATATCTTATAGTCTACGCTGTCTAGTGTCTACACTTTTTACAGTACATCTTGTGTGGCAACGGGTGACTAGTAAGTCAAGTAACTATATTTTCATTATTTTATTCACTCTCTTATTTGACAAGGAAAATCCATATGGCCATTATAATTGCAATAAACTATACATCAAATGGCGCATTAGGATTGACTGAAAATATATAGTTTGTTATAGTTTCTATCTTGCAACCAATGGCTGTTCTTAGCCCCAAAAAGACAGAACCCTCACCCTGGCTCCGGTTTTGATAAAAAGTATCTCTGCATCTTTCATTCATTGGGACCTTTTTCTGAATGTGATTGTTGTACATGCAGAATTTTTTTCCTCCAAGTAATTATATTGGTATTGATTGTAACCACAATACTTTCAGAGACGTTCCATATATGAAGCTTTGTCAAGATATACAAGGCCAGCGCAGTTGTGGGATCTTTATACATTTTCATGTGGTCCCTGCAACTTAATTAACAGCAATCCAAAGTCACGTTTGCTGGATGAGTACCATCGTCTTCTTGGGAAAAGGTTTTTTCATGCTTCAAGTGACAATACTCAGGATGAGTACTCTATGTCAAATGATTTTTGGAGGATTACTTCAGTAAATTCCGACTACACTTTATGTGCAACTTATCCTTCCTCTTTGATCATACCGAAAAATATTAGGTAAGTTTCTCAGTATTCATGCTTATTTGTGCATTACTTTGTGTCTTCGAAACTGACTAGTTTACCTTACATGGGACTAATAAAAAATTCTCAAAATTGACTTTAAATATTAGAACTGTAATTCTGTTTTGAGTTTACCGGTGCACTGAGAATGTGATAGGATTCTTTCTTGAACTAGAGATGAAGATATATTGCAAGCATCTTCTTTCCGCGCAAGGTGCCGTTTGCCTGTTATTTCATGGTGCAACCCAGGTGTGTAATTAGGTTGTTGATGTTTGTTTCTCACAGAACCTATGAGGAATGTTCAAGGAAAGTTTAATGTTGGGATGAATTTCGGGAATATATGTAAGATAACTAAGTTTTAATCTGCATTGTAGTGACTGGTGCTGTTCTTGCTCGTTCATCTCAGCCATTAGTTGGTCTTATGATGGGTATGAGGAGGTATCTATTTTGGTTCTTCATCTCTCTACTTTTGTGAAACATAATAAAATTTGGTGAATCCAATGGATTGTGTGAATTGCGTTGCAGCAATGCTGATGAGAAGCTTGTTGCTGCACTTTGTACAGATATAGTTGATGGCAAAGTATCTCGAAAAAGGTAAATATGTTGTGTCCTATAGCTATCTGCCTATCTCTTATCATTGCATGTGGTTATTGATATGTATCATGCTGGGGCTTGATCAGTGACATCCTGACAGTTGAGAATAGGTTGTTGTTTAGCTAAAGAAGTTACTGTTAAATATTTTGTGACACTAGGATGCATATGTTATTATTATTATTTAAAGCATCTTGTTCGCATCAATTAGCTAGGAGCAAGTCAAGAAAGGGGTCTACAGTGATGTTAAAAAACATGCTTCATAAAACCGGGTATCTTTTCTGTTCTTTTGGTCGGTGGTCTGGGGGTTCCATTTGGAGGTCGAGTGGAGGGATCTTCACGCATTTTTCCCTTAAAAAAAGATATATCACTGGAATGTTACCTTCGCATTCACTGTGAATTTTAGTTCACAGCATAATTTAACTGATACTTGGATCAATCCAGCAACAAAAAGCTCTACATTGCTGATGCGAGGCCTAGAAAGAATGCTTTAGCAAATGGTGCAATGGGTGGTGGTTCAGAGTCTTCATCTCATTATTCCCAATCTGAGGTCTGTCTTTTCTTTAGGCTGTAGAATATACATTTTATTTGCACTATTTGCTAACAGAAATTGATATCTGTCCTTTTGTTGCACTTTTAACTTTCTGCTTAGGTTGTCTTCTTTGGGATTGACAACATTCATGCCATGAGAGAGAGTCTATCTCGACTTAGAGACTATGTGGATACTCATGGAACAACTTCATCTGATGGAATGTCATCCTTTTTGGTGAGTGGACATCCTTCTAACTTCTAAGTATTTATGTTTTTCATTCATCAGAGATTCATCCTGCATTTATTTTCTATTATTGCTTTTCCATGATTTTTGTGCTATCCATAGACATCTTTCGTCCGCATTAATTTATGAATTTTCTAGAGATGGCTGGTACAACTCACGTGGGATGCTTAGGATTTCTTCTAACTGATATATATTTCCTTCTTTACCATATTATAGCAATATAATATATTATTCACTTCCAAATTCCAACGAAGTCACAAAATATCTAACCTTACCTGTCCTTATTTCGCTGACGAAATGTTTTGAAATGAGAAGTTCAGTTATGATAAATATTTTGTGTTTTACTATTTGTTTATAATTTGGTTTGTGAAACACATACTATTGTTGGAAAGAATACAAGTTTTCTCTTTTTGCAGTTTGTTGTATTCCCTGTATATCATTGTCATATCTTAATCAAGTGGCCTTATTTTTCATTCTTGTGTTTGGTTGTTGCAATGGTCCAACCTTTTATTTCATCACTGCTATTATTTTTTCCTCCAGAAGGCACAGAAATGCTCATATAATTTACTTAGTGTTTTAGGTAGAGTTCAGCATTACAAGTTTCTAAAATTTAAGCTTTCTTATTCGGTTAATTGTGCAGTATTATCTCAGGTTAATAGTATTTCTATCCTACTATGAATCCTCTCTCTCTTATTTTGGAGTACAACTCTTATTGCAAAGGGATGATGGAGATGTTCTCAATACGATGTGGAAAAGTTTCCATTGCCATCATCATTATCCAAACTCCATAACTAACCAGTTACAGTTTTGGGGAACTTTTGTGTGTGTGCGCACGCGAGCATGTTCGTGCACACTGAGTGTGTGCGTGCATGCGCTTGTGCGCGCGTGTTGGGGGAGCATTTTGTGACCATTGTCTCACTTTGTTTTGCCTTTTGTTATTGCATTTGTTGCCTATGGGTTTTGTGGATGCTTACTCTAATACTTGGCAAAGATTTAATTTGCTCATATTCTATCACTTTGCCCATTGATTGTGTGTGTGCTGGTGGAGCATTTTGTGTCCGTTATCTTACTTTATTATGCCTTTTGTTATTGCATTTGTTGCCTATGGACTATGTGGATGCTTACTCTGATACCTGTCAAAGATTTCATTTTTTCCATATTCTATCACTTTGACCATTGAATACGCGTTTTCTGTTACATTGCTTTAAGATTCTTTTTCAGTCTTTTCCCACAGATTGATAAATTGAGACGAGAGAATATCCATTTGCTAGTTTGTTGCTTCTGATCTATGTTGTTTGCACTAACATTTTATATTTTTGAACACTGACTCCACACCATAGATAATCTAGTTCTGACTCTTTATCTTTTTGACAGAGAAATGGTGGATGGACATGGGGTGGAGGCAACCTAAGTAGCATGTCAGCTTCTGTTTCAACTCTGGGTGAGAGTGGGTGGTTAAACCATGTGCAGAGTGTCCTTGCTGGTTCTGCTTGGATTGCTGCGCGTGTTGCCATGGAATCTGCTACTGTTCTTGTCCATTGCAGGTTTTTTTTGGGTACCCTTGTAGTCCTTGGTCTATTTTATGAATCAGTTACATGTTTGTCTGATCCCCATTATAGAATCTGTATCACTATCAAGTGAGAAATATCAGGCTTACGTTGTTCTTTCCCCATTGTAGAATAGCAACTTCAAGTATGAAACCATTAATGGCTGTAAGGACACTACTTTGCTCCTATACCACAGCCAGCAAGTGCTACAGTTAGCCAGAAATCCACGAATATTCGCCCTAACTGTTTGCAAATACTTTGTTCTTGAATAAGAGGAATTTATTGACCCCAGCCAGGATGAAAGCCAAACTAGTCATTCAATAAAAATTCCAAAGACTGATGGGTAAATTTTAACTGCAGGACATTCATTATTTCTTACACTGTACTACTGTAGACTTAGTCTAGATTTTGTCGTACCCTGGCTGGTTCTCTATCTTTTGGAGGTGAGAACTGGGAAGTGAAACAACAGATTGTATCAAGTGGGAAGTGCAGCAATGACTATTTCACTTGATATTGTGTATTTCCATTGATCCTGTATAATTAAAGGAAAACTAAAGGAGAAAAGTACTAATGTGAAGTTAACAATACAACTAACAAGAATGATGATTGGCATAAATAATTAGAAAATACTCGAGGGATATTTATTCAATTTATGAGCATATAGAGCAAGAGCTACTTACTGATCCTTTCTCTTCTCAAGGGGTTGCTGCAGTACCTTTTTGCAACTGGAATATCTATTAGCAAAAGGACACCACAACCATTAACCATTATCATAAACAGGGTTGCAGAACCAATTATATCTAAAAACATTAACTAAGGTAAGCATTGAAGAGGTTTTAGAAATCAAAACGTGCTTACATTTTCTAAGTATATGCATGAATGAGAGTTAATCATGTTTCTTTTCTTGGATATTTCCCTTGAATTTTCTCAACAACTAAGCTATTGTGAAAATGATCTTAGATGAGCTTAACTGTACATTATGTCAATACCAAAAATTCAATCTAAATTTTTGTTAGGTAGATTTTGGTTCTAAACAAGTTCATCAATGCTTTCACTTGTTAGGTCATCAGAACTTCACTTGTGTTTGACAGAAAATTAAATAAGTATCAATCTCAATTTTCTATTACTTTATTGCAATCAATCAAACAAAGAACATTTAAACAAAGATTTATTCTCAACTTTAAATTGCACTTTTACCTAATACATTACAAACAAAAAATACCTTTAAAATAGTCTACTGCTACAAATTACAATTAGGTTTCACAAATCCATAATTACACTTATCAAACCAACAGTAAATATAGAAATTTCAGAAAATATCTTGTTCAGTCAAAATCAGAGTCAGCCTTTGATTCAGAATGATTGTCATGGAGGTTCAGTTTGTTCCTACTTCCTTGGACCTATAAAGTGTTACACTTGATTAGCAACTAACAATAATTTTAAAGCAATACCCTACACATACATACTCTTCATGCTCCCCTTTTCAGACCTGATTGAATGTATAGGCGTGGTTTGTAGATATAGTTAGGATCCAACAGAACAGTTTGTGTATTTCATTTTTTTTTTTGAACTTGGTATTCTATTATGACTTATCAGTATACAACATAATATAGAGGCATAAACACATAAGTACATACTCTTCATAATCCCTTTTGGTTTGCTTTTATAGATTTTGTTTTTGTAAATATAGTTGTTGTCAAACTCAGTGGTCATTGTAGAACTATTTGAGGATGGCCTGTATATTATGTTTGGTGTTCTATCAAAATTATATATTTGTACAATCACCCATCTTTACACTTAATGTATGTACTAATGATATCTCGATTTTGTTTTATAGCGATGGATGGGATAGAACGACTCAGCTAGTCTCACTTGCTAGTTTACTACTCGACCCATTCTACAGGACATTTAAGGGATTTCAGGTAATATTACATGCTCTTCCTTTAGATTGTTCTCTTTCTATCCTTTCTTTCAATCTATATTGAAGTTGACAAATGCTAAAAAGTAGTACAAACTTTAAAGGTTTAGATATGACCTCATCTTTGCTCCTGTCAGTGAGCTTTATCATACTCCTGATTACACTCAACCTTTTGTTGCAAGGGACCAATCTTTATCTAAGTCGATGATGGATAGTATTCGGTGTCTAATTTGTCTTTGACTAAAAAGATCTTTTTGAGGCATTATGATGTAGATGGGTGAATTTTTATACCATATTATCTTAGTGAAATCATTAGAATATGACACCAAACCTTTCAATTGATGATGATATAATCAAAGAAATGTTTGAAGCTATTGTTGGAGCTTCTGATAAATTTGATAATATATCAAGCCATTTCAAAAGAGGGTCTTAATACTTGAAGCTGTTTTCAAGATACAATCATGCATTATTATGTAATATTGATTGTGATACCTTTACTATGTATATGTTTCTAAGTTTCTGAAAATATAGGATTTCTTTATGGTTATTGTCTTTCTTATTTAAGAAAGATGTTATGATGTTATCATGATGATTGTGATACCTTCATCCTTCTGCATTTAAAATTTGAGGTCAAGTTCTCCAACTTGGAAATTTCGAATGACTTATTGTGTTTATTATGAAAGTGGGAATTGATGGAGATCGTTTTTCCTATGAAATATTCTAGATGGTTAGAAAATTATTCAGGCAATTAATTTACTTCCTTTTGATTGTTGTTTTACAAAGAATTGCTTTAGAAGCAAGTGATAATTTTCTTTCGTTTTATGAGCTGTTTTAGAAAGGGTTGTTTTAAAAGCAAACTTTATGATGTTTCTTTATTTTTATATTTGCTTAGGAATAGAATAAGAAAACCCCATGTATATATAAGAGACTTTAAGCACTATATTGGATTAATTTAATTTGGAATGAATTAGCCAACTAGCTGTTGAGTTGAGTTTTCTCTTAAAACCCTTGATTCCTCCCTTCCTTCCTGTTTTCCCTTTTCCATTTTGTTAGCAGACTGTATGGTAAAATCATCTTCTTCCAACAATATCTAGTAATGACCCAGGCACTTTATGCTAACAGCTGAAGCGACTTGTTTTTCTGGTGTTTGATTCAGTTTGCTGGCATCTTTACAAATCATTTGTTGCGACTTGTTAATGTGTTTCTCATTAACCAAAAAACATATGCAACTTTTAACGTTTGTTTATCCTTCGTGTAGGCTCTAGTAGAAAAAGATTGGTTAGCCTTTGGTCATCCATTTGCAGACCGTATGGGTATCCCAACTGTATCTGGAAGTGGTAGCACACCTTCAGAATTATTGAGGCAAACTTCTACAAGAAGTCTTTCGACATCCTCAATTCGGACTTCAGGGTCAGGATTTTCATCTACAACTGGGAGTTCCTCACATGGGCAGACATCGAACAATTCTTCTCCCATATTTTTGCAGGTCTTTTAGTAATTAAATGTTTGGGCAAGTACTGGTTTCTAGATTTATATATGTCAGAGGATCGCTCTTTGGTTTGTGAGCTGCAGTTAATATCAAGGCTAACTTAGGCTTAATATATTCCTCATGTAGGCATTGGGCATGTGGAAATGCCTCTGGTTGAACGAACTTAATAGTATTACTAGATGGGGAAACTAAGTATATTTTAAACTTAATCACTATAGAATGTTGAATTTGTGTTTCTCATGAACTCTGTTTCTTCATAAATTTATTATTTACGTGGAATCATCCTAGAGAATGACACTCCTAATCCATTTGCTGTGAAGTCTTAGTTTGTCGTCAGTTACATAAGTTTAATCAACATATCTTTCTTCTGTTTCAAATGCTAGAATTTTAGTATTTGTAAGAAATGTTTCTTGTTCTAACCTAACACTATGCTAGGGATGTCACTGACAAGAATATAGATTGTGCTAAGATTTTTCCTTTCATGTCCTGGTTGGTTCTAATATATGCTTTAGTTATGTGTTCTCAGTAGTTTGAGCTGTGATTTCAATAACATTTTTATTTGGTCAATGTTAACATCCAAAAGAATTTTATGATGGGGCTTCACTGTGATTACTGGATTGCCCATGTAATTAACAGGTTACTGGTCAATGATACTGAAATACTATCAGTTGAGAAGTCAATTGTAGATCAGGGCTATTATTTCTTCTTCATTGCTTGCTATCCTTCAACAATTCCATCCTTCATCTGCTAAATGTATTTCATTGTAAATTCCTCAATTTACCATAAAATGGATTGAGAATAGAACAGTCATTCGTGTGATGAATATACAAGACTGTTATATGTACGGTCCAGACTTTTGACAATATATTTTTAAAGTGGCTTTCATTATTGGCTTTGCAGTGGGTGGACTGCATTTCTCAGTTACAAAGGATGTATCCATGTGCTTTTGAGTTCTCCTCGGTAAGTATCCTTGTTTATTCAATTGACCATACTCGTTTTATATTCATGGAAGTTAAGTAGTTACCCGATGGATCATTTGACATCTGGCTAAAATACATTAGTTTATGGGTGCAGGCTTTCCTAGTTACTTTTCTAGATTGCGTGCTCTCTTGCCGCTTTGGGAACTTTTTGTGCAACAGGTATTTTATTATACCTTTCCTTCCAATTCTTTCTTTAGTTTTACCTCCATTTTTGTTCTGTTAGACCTTTGAACTTGGAGACTAATGTTTAACAGGCAGCGTTGAACCAGTCATGTATTATGGGTCAAATATCTGGCACTTAAGAAATAACCTATCTGGAAAAAAAGGTTATTTGCAGTTTTGCAGATGCACTCATCTACAATGAAAGTGCAGTCCTTAATATCTCCTAGACTATTTTCTTGACACTTACACCTAACCCAGATTTCCCCATTATTCTGAGATGTCATATGAGAACCAAGGTTTTAAATGTCAGATGTTGGGTTCATGTCGGACGGCTAAAATTCATGTCGGATAGCGGAAATCAGAGATATGTCGGGGACATGAAAAACATATCGGATTGCCATATCGGATTACCATATCGGATGGTGTGTATATATGTAAAATAAATATCATAAATGAAATCTAAACATTACTTAATAAGTTCTATTGTTTAAACATATAAAAAAACAAATAGCTTATGATACTTAGGATTGATGTTGAAGGAAAGAAGTGAGAAAAGAGGAGTCCGATGTTGATGGTTAAGGAAAGAGAAGATCACCCGATATTGATATCGAAGGAATAGCTCGGAGAAGAAACCAATGAGATGTCGAAGGAGAGTAGAAGATGAGTGACAGAAATGACTTCGGTCTTTTTTTCTATTTTCCCCAACTGATCGGCTTTTTTCTTTGGAAGCTATACTAAGACAATCAAGCATTTAAATTCAAACCTGATTAGATAAACATAACCAAAAGTACAAAAAAAATCAGCCAATTTTTCAGACTGAAAATTAGCCGACATGTCCCCCGATATATCCGCCCGACATATCCGACATGAACCCTGAAAACACAATACGCATTGAAAAACTCCATATCGTATCGGTCAGCCCCTAAATCCGGCATGTCGCCCGACATTTAAAATACTAATGAGAACAATGTGACAGTAAATCACTCCATTTGCCCTCATTTTAGTGGGCACTTTACTTTTTGTAGTTGATCCGACGGGTGTCGGACACGGATTCTCAGCGTACACACCATGGACACAAGTGGTTCAAAGCAAAACCCGATTTTCATATCACTTATACCCTAAACTAGTTTCTATGGTAATATTGGGTTCAAAACCAATCGGTTTTTGAACCCAAAAATTGTAACCCATTGCTTAAGTATTTGAAAAATACCCATCATATTATCCCATGCGATCAAAAACTAAACTTTTTTCATTAAACCTTATTCTTAGTTTGATATAACTTGATTCTTAATTGTTATAGATAATACGAAGGAACATACACATGTTACAGGTATTTTAATACAATATTTGCCTTAGTGTGTGTGTGTGTAAAGTCATGTCCTCGTATCCTACCTTTTACAATTTTTTCGTGTCCCGTGTGCGCACCCATATCCATGCTACCTAGATTGTTACATGACTTGCACATGATATCTCAACCTAACAAGGAAATAACACCGTCTATGGTTCAAGGAGTGCAAGTGGTAATAAAATAGGTTATGGTGTATAATTGTTTACACCCCTATAATATATGGACAAATCTGCAATTGACCCTAAACAAAAGACTTCACCTAAAATAAAAAATTTCATGATGGATGTGACACTAAGATTGAATGGAAGGGGTAAGAATCAGCACAATCATATCTTCAGGTGAGGATATGTATGATTAATTGTGTTTTCAATGTGATATATTATAATATAATACATTATAATATGTGATATTGTGTTGTGAATTATTGAATTAAAATAATATATTAAATATATCGTTAGTATGTTACATCAATATTATATATTATATCATACTATTATATAATAGTATATTATATTGATTAATAGCATTAAACATAAATACAATTAATTATGGTAATTATAATATATCATATTATAATTTAGTATAAATTAAAATTAATATATTGTAATATAATATATTGAATGATATACTAAACCAATTGGATAAATTAATTTAGATTTAATTGGTAACTAAATATTATTTTTAATAAGGTGCCACATCATCAATTACCCCATATGAATTATCAAATTAAAGCTTCAACTTATCCCATTATCCTAACTTACCTCATTTTACCCCACTCAAATTGTTCCCAAGGGATGAAATTGTCTTATTTAGAATGTAATGTGTCCTGACTTTGGCCCAAACTTGTGCCCGACGGGTACCCCCCCCCCCCACCAAAAACAAGGGGTTGGTGGTAAAAGGGAACTTGTATGGAGGCGATGAAAAAGAGCGAGTGATTGTTAATTTAACTGAGGCGTGCACTGTAATACTTTCGATGGACTGATGATGATCTATTCATCATCTAAAAAAAACTGTTTCACCTATAGGATCTTCAGTAATGGGGTCATTTAATGACTTGGAGGAACTTCTTGAGGATAAGTTGTAAGGCATGTGACTCATGAGGAAGTTACAAGCTGAAACTTCTCCTGCAATATTCTATGAGAAATTGCTCTGTAGTGGATGGGGTGGATCCACAAGGTTGTCGCATCTATCATGTTTCTTTTAGTTTTATTTAGCTACAATAGCAAATGGAAGCGTCTTCTTGGGTTTGGAGCTATTGCAATTTATCCTAATTAATTTTTGTCGAAGTAGATGATCTATTTTTAATTTTGTTCCAAGAGTTTTTCTGAAACTGTACTTGTGTATATTATGAATTTATATCCCTGGAAATTATGTCTAAATATTTATTTCTTATATCGTGTATCCTTAAAATGATATGAGGGTAGTCTATTACAATGATGTCAGTTTTCTCTTTTCATGTGGATGTTACTTCATTTAGTAATATATGAAGGTGTTTCCTTCTTTTATTTGAATACTCGTGTCCTCTTCCAGTGAAGCATATATCCCTCTTTTTTATTTTGGAGACCTAAGGTCGCATGTACTTTACTATCACTGCTTTGAGTATCTTCTTATAGTTTTAATAGTGTTAAATGTTTGAATGAACTATCCTTGTGTTTATAATGAACCATGTTGAGGACATTAGTTTCTGCATCAGGGTTTTAATTTTATAGTTGTTGCATGGTACCCCAGTCAAAAATTGCACCAAGTTCATCTTTGGTAGCTAGTACTGGCATTCTTCTTCTTCCTCTCTCTTTTTTTTAAATAACTTGGTATATCTTATGGGTCTTTATTTGCTTATAGTATTGTAGTCAGAAAACATGTTTTTCTATATTCTTGTAGATTCTTGCCTATAATTAGTCCATGTGCAATTCATGTTTTGTATACATGCAGATGAGTTGTACTACAATTGTATTATACATGCATATTACTTATGCTTGAAATTGCATTTACCAATGTTAACCACATCCCTCTATTAAATACCTTGGATAATTTTTTGGTTATGTTTTAGTGAAAAGGAGAGGGAGCAGGCTGGTGTGTGGGACAATTGCAGTTGCATGTGGGTGTCTTTGACCAACTTACGAGCAGCTGAGGGGGACTCACATCCTCATCACAACCCCTTCTATGATCCAATGAAACATGATCGTCCGCTGTTGCCTGCAGCTGCTGCATTAGCTCCAACTATATGGCCCCAATTTCATTTGCGATGGGCATGCCCTTCAGAAGCACAGGGTGGGGAGCTGGAAGCGCAGTGGCATATTTTGAGCAAAAAATATGCTGATATGTCAAAGGTAATCACATATCATTTTGTTGTTTAAACAAGAAAGTTTATGCTTGATATATAAAAAACATTGTGTTGTTGGCTGTTAAATTATGTTTGCCACAAAAGTTGCACTAAGTCTAGGGTAAATTGCGGATAGACTCCCTTTACAATCGCCCAATTGCAGATAGAGCTCCTGCAGTTGTATTGTTGCAGATAGATCCCTGAGGATACTTTTTAATCTTTTATCCTCGGACAAAGAGAACTACTTTTTGGCACATAGACCTCCGGATGGTAAGAGTAAAAAAAGATTCACTCAGGGGGTCTGTCGACAATTGGGGAATATTACAGGGGGTCTGTCCGCATCAATAGAACAACAAAAGGGGCCTACCCGCAATTAGTCAGTTAACCCTTAAATCCACAGTCAACCCATAAATGTACGTCGTCAGTGCTTGCTTGATCATTCTGTATTGTTTTTGGGATGGATTTCAGGCAAAGGAGAGAGCAGTTTTGAAGGCAAAAGATTTGAAAGTTCGTACAGACTTATTGGCTGCAGAACTGGAGAAGGAAAAACAGGCCTGCAGCTCATCTTTAACCATGGCTAGAAGGGCCTGCAGAGAGAATTTAGCCATAAAAAGGGCAATACAGTCACTCGGATGCAAAGTACAGTTCTCAACAGATGGTGGTCTAGAGTCAGGAGGAACCAGAGAGAACTTGCCATCTTCTCTCAGAAGAGACTTACATGCTGCATCTGGACAGAGCAATGAAGGAATGGATCTCTCTGTTTCTATAGTAGCCGTGGATGATAACACGGATGATAATATGGTTCATGTTAACACACTTAGCAGGGTGTGCGATACTTTCTGCCCATTTAGAACGGGGGAAGGCTGCAAGTGGCCTGATGGTGGATGCCCACAGCTTGGCAGCCAGTTTGTTGGATTGAAGGCAAACTTTGATGCATTTGATCGGCTTTCTATATATGATCAGTATTTTGGATCAGAATAGAGCTGCCATAGAACTTCCATTGGTTTCTCCATCCAGTTTCCTCGAAGTAGAGCTGACTATTTTGGAGGAAGTAGTCTGTATTTCTCCAGTGAGATTAGTTTCACAGGAAGCAGGACGATGATATGGTGAGTAAAGAACACGACTTTTGCTGTTTATAGATGCATAAGAATGTATCCATCGAAGAGCTGTTAAAGTGAAGCGGATGCAAGGATCTAAATTTGTATGCAGTCGAGGAGTTTGAATACTATTTTTTTCTTCAACTTCCCCCCTTGTCGAGTGTACGGCACTCATCATTTTTTATCTGTACATATTTACCAAATGAAAAAAATGTACAAATTGAAACGTGGTGCTCGGATGTCGAAATAGTTCTATAAGCAGTTGAAAATTTGTTGATTAGGTGATGTTTCCTGCCTGGTAATTCTTTTGTGTATATATATTTTTGGTGATAGATATTTTGGAATTCCATGAAGGATCTTTCATTGTTTTTGACCGATTTTATGCCACATTTGCCTTTTTTGTTTACGACACTCTGTTATATGTTCGTACGTGTGCCTGTGCATATATAAGTGTCTTTAGGAGAAATTTTACAAAACTTTATAAACCATTTGAAAGTATGAAATCTCATCAGTACAACAGTAGGAGACCAAAAGCCAAATCACGGTCGGGGCAAACAAGGCACCTGCTAGCCAAGAGAATTTCCAAATCTGAACGACTAAAAAACAAAAAACTATAAAATATAGTACAAAGAAACGACTATCACCCTTCTACAGCAAACATGGAGACCGACGTCAGTGCGCCTGCATAAATTAACAAAAGTTATTGGCTATAAATAAACAACTAAATAAACTTATGTGCAAAGTGATTTCCCATATCGCGATTCTGGAGAATTTTCATGAACCCGATTCTAAACCGAATGGACTAAACCGAACCGACCGAACTAAATTATGGTCCGGTTTCAAATTTAGAACATTGTGCATGGCTGTTAGTTGGCTCATTCGAAAAACCATGAGCAGCCGTGCAGTAAACATGAGGTGTTTTAGCTTAAATTGATTGGCATGAATTTGACTATTGTACTCTCCATTTATTATGTTTCTGTATTTAATTCAATATCTCTCTTCATGTACATTAATTCTCTTAATATTTGAGTCAGTTCTTAAGGGATATGGGAGGAAATCAGCTGAACTAGATTCTTCAGTAATTGAAGCCGTTCTTCTGGAGGCGACAGATGTCACTTTCAAGTGTTTGTTTCAAGCTGTTTTAGTGTTTTTTTTTTGGATCTAGCAGTTGGAATCATTTTGGTTTTATCGTCATCTCTTTTGTGTTTAATGTAAACTTCATGGCTCGACTTTGTTTATTTTACCCATGAGAAATTTTTGAAATGGGCCGGTTTTGAAAAATATTTAGTAAAAACCGACTGTTTTGCTAAATATTTAGCAAAAGCGACCTCCTTTTTTGCCAGCTCACCAAGGCTAGCAAAAAAGAGGTCAGTTTTGCTGAATTTGGGTTTTGAAACACACGTGACTAGTAGTCTTATGTGTTTAGTGGCCGCCAACCGGCCACTAAACTAAACTCAGAAAACCCATTTGACTTCTAGTCTTGTTGGTTTTCTCTTCACAAACATCCAAATATAAGCAACCAATTTCTACACAATTCCCACCCAAAATCTAAATTTTAACGATTCCATCTGCAAATACCTAATATAAATTGGGAATCAGATTTCAACTCAAAAACATGACTTCAAATGCTCCACTTGAAGCACAAATTAAGAAATAGCAACCAATTATTGCATAAACCCCATCAAAATCCAATCTTTAACACTTCATCCCACTAGCTTTTATTGAAAATTGAGAAGAATTACCCGGCAAACGAAGCCAGCTGTTGCCATCGCCCGATCCAGTAGCGAAGAGAAGACCTTTCCGAACCTGACCCTTGGGATTTCAAGAACACCACCATCGTAATCTAGCGGATCTGATTCACTTCTCATCGGAGCCCTAAAACCCTAGAAATCCACAAAAGATTCAAATCACCCATAAATTTCCACTAATTAGTAGTAGTCCGTGGGTTTTGTATTTGTGAAAAGAAAACCCACGGGACTAGTAGTCCCGTGTGTTTTTTGAGTTTAGTTTAGTGGCCAATTAGCGGCTACTAAACACACGAGACTACTAGTTCCGTGTGTTTCAAAACCCGAATTCACCAAAACTGACCTCTTTTTGGCCAGCCTTGGTAAGCTGTCCAAAAAGAGGTCGATTTTGCTAAATATTTAGCAAAACAGTCAGTTTTGCTAAATATTTTTCAAAACCGGCCTATTTCAAAAAAAACCGGCCTATTTTATAAACTGTTCAATAATACAAAATCGTCAAACACTTGGTTTTAATGAAACGATTTCAAACAAGCTTGAAAATTCTTTTGAATAGATTTATAGACTTATGAAAAGATGTAAAATAGTATCACTAAGTCAATAATCCACAACCATATTATTTTCTCAAAACAACGTATAATGCAATAAATATAAAACATAGGTGCATGAATACGAATATATGTATTTGTTTCATATTTATATGGCTAAAACTCATCTATTAAAATATTTGTATGGCTAAAAAAATATTTATGCAAAGTGAAACAACCAATGAAAGCCATTGTTGATGTCTGATAACACACAGTCGATGGGGTCTTTCCGCAGTGGGATGCAGTCTTTGTGCCGGCGGCGAATAGGGGGAGGATGAGAGGTGGGACCGACTCCTCCTTCGACTTTATGCCTAATCCTTAGACTAGAATTCCTGATCCTTCTGCACAAACAAGAATAAACCCGTAAGAGGGCGGGGACCGGTTCCCCCATGGTACCTCCGACGGTCAAGTCAGCTAGTGAACTTGAGTGGGGTAAAAGAAAAACGATGTATTCTTCCTCCTGCAATATGTGCTTTTTAATCAAGAAGAGGATGCTTGCGGGGTGATGAAGGGGATCTCTTCCTTTCCCGACTTTATGTTCGGTTCTTAGAGCTCGGGGCGAACGGATCACCTACACATGCAAGAATCATGGGAGTGCGGGGCTCGTTTTCCCCGTGGTACCTCCGACGGTCAAGTCAGTTAATGAACTTGAGCTTGAGTGGAGTAATAGAACTGTGTTCTTATGCTATGTGCATTAGAGACGATGATCTCTCATATTTAGATCAGGAGGAAAGTTTAGATTGTGAACCTGCCAACTTGTGAACCCCATCGTGGGAGTACAGGGCTCGTTTCCTCCGTGGTACCTCCAACGATCAAGTCAGCTAGCGGACTTGGGTGGGGTGAAGGAAGAACGGTGTGTTCTTCCAATATGTGTACTTTAGAGAGTTTCTCTTTATTGCAAGAAAATCTGACCCTCTTTTTATGGCAAATAGCGTCTGTATTTATAGAGGATGCCAAGGGCAGAATAGACACTTCATGAGAGTGCGGTTTAAGATGATTGTGGGGGGTGAGCTGGAGGCTGAGTCACCCTCTGCTCTATATGTGTCGACTTGTAAGTGACGGGAGGTCACTTCAATGACATTAGGAGCCAGCAGCCGACGAGTCTTGTCGGTTTATGAGTGACGGGAGGGCACTTCAGTGATGTGGGGAACCGGCAGCCGACAAGGTTTCAGATGGCTGAGGACGGAGACATAATGATGATCATAAAAGGTTAAATAATACTGAGAAGAAATGTTCTAAGCCGCCCTTGGGAGGAGTGTCGGCTAATTACTAAGCAGCAATCTTTTGTTATGAAGAGGGTCGACTGAGTCCGCCTCTTGAGTCGCCTTTGAGGAATAATGCCGACTCGACTGAGGGAGTGGCAGCTCGGCTGTCTTTCAAGTCGACTCTGAGGAGTGTTGAATCTCTGAAATGCTAATTTTCATACCAACTAACACGGCCTCCCGAGTTGGCAGATCGTGTCGGCTTGTCTGGTTGGTCGAGATGTCGACTCATCAGATCATACATTTGGAAACAGTTGTACCCCATAACAGCCATAAAACAAAACAAACGTGTATGTGTGAAATTTAAACTTTAAGCATAACACATAAGTTATAAACACCTAAACTACTATACCAAGCATTGGATCTTCAATTTGCTCGTCTTGGTTGCGGATGAAGCTTGAACTTATACTTGACTTGAAATACAAAGCTTCATTCCGATATCCCTTCCATCCTCTAATGAATATGATTGTGTAGGCGCAAGTCCATCCAACATCCAGCAGTGGATCTTTGTATAGAATACCTAACAAGTAATTATAAACTCTCGACAAACGTTGTTAGGAATTATTTGTTAATCATCAAAACAAACAATCTACACAAAGAGATATAACAATATGCATGATACCAAATGAATATACAAATTATAACCCTCATTTATAAAACCAATAGAATGATATACTCTCAATTGACTTGTTTCTCACCCTTTGTTAACATCAAAATGGGGAATACAATAAGAATAAGAGAGCGAAAGCTCCCCTTATCAAAAAAACACGAGTGAGTATAAACAAAACATAGGGAAAAAGCTCCCCCTATCAAAATGCCACATAGCATATATCAATGAAAATGAAAAAGCAAATAAAGAACTTAAGATAATATATGCTTTAAGGCTATTTTACACAAACAAGGCACAATGTGAGCAAATAGATATATAAAATATATATATTAATCGCAACTCACATTTAAAGAGACCAAAGAACACCTATATATATTATTTAAAAAAATTATCTCAATAAATAAGTATTATATATATATATATATGAAAAAATATTTTCAAAAGAAAGCAAATCATGAAAATAATGAAAATCCAAATGAAAATTTTGATATATATTCCCAATTTGAAAAGTTATGAATATTCATGAAGGGAAAAAATCATAAAAACATCATTTTTTAACAAGTAAAGAAGATGATCAAGCAAAAACATGATTCAAATGATAAACATGCCCAATTTACCTCTTTTAAATAACAAAAAATTTCTTCGTAAAGAGGCTTGAAAAAACATGTCTACTTTTGGAGATTTTGTATCAATATAAACAAGGGACATATCTTTTCTATCTACATGATCACACAAAAATAATTATCAAAACATTTATGTGTTTCATCCATAAAGATAAAATTTTTTGCTTAGGATAAAACAAATTAATATCAATAATATCATTTTCGACAAGTAAAACTAGATAATCAATTATGTCAAGCTCTTGGAGCTTGTATCAACCCATATAGAAACTTTTTTCACTCGGTAAACATGATATGGAAGAGAAAGATTAATAAGTCTAGGGGGTTGCTCAATATAAACCTCCTCTACCAATTTAAAACCAATTTTTGAGAAACTAGATTTTTTTTGAAAAGGAATCGTATAAATGAAAATATTTTCTTTTATATATATTTAAAAGAATCATCAAAACTTTGTTTTAAAAAAT